GTATTTTGGTACACCTCGGCACTGGTTTCTACACCTTTTTCACAGAAAAACACCTCAGTTAAGAATGAATATGAGACTCCAAGCCAAACCATGAGTGACGAAGAATAATGTGCTCGTTGAACGCTCGGAATATGCGTGCTGGCTTTTTCACTGATGTGGGCAAACACCTTATCATTTTGTTTATTATAACTTTCTTCAATATTAAAAATGTTTTCATCCGAAAACAAAATTTCGCGGTATTTTCCCCACCGTACCATTTTTCTCAAACGCTCGTTCAAAAAATTTCCGGTCTTCTTACGATAAGCTCGTAGTCCTGGGTCTTCACTGATCACTTTTTTGACCGTGGTTCTGCTTAGGCCCATCTGAAGAGCTAAGATTTTTTGTTTACGAACAGGATTTCGTTGGATTCGCGCTTTCACTGCTCTGTTGATCGCGTGTGTCCTGTACTGTACGAGGTCGGCCGGTTCTCTTACGATCTTCGAAGCTTGAATCTTCAGTGAATCGTTTGATAGTGCGATAAACAAATCGTAGGGTTATTTTCAATTTTTGTAGAATATTGAAAATCTCTTTAGGCGCGTAACCACAGCGGTGCAACGCAATACCCGCTACTCTATCTTCTTTCTTCGACCACTCCATACTTGAAAATGAATAAAAATCAACGTATTTTTTATTTCCGGCGAACGCAAACGTTATATTTTTAGAATTGATGAAGTTCATCTAGCCAGTATTCAAAAATTTTAAATAATAAGTTTTTGACAGAACTTATGATCCGACTAAGTATTATAAGAAAGGAACAATTTGGCTTCCAGAGAGAAAAATCAACGACTTTAGCAATCTTTAACCTAATAAATAGAATATTGATCAACATTGACTTATCAAAGGCATTCGATTTCTTTGCGAATACTCTTCTGAGCAAACTGGAATCTCTCGGAATCAGAGGACCCCCATTATCATGGGTAACGTCTTATCTAAGTAGGCGTCAACAAAAAGTTGTCATCAATAAAATAATTAATAGTGAGATGAGTTCAGTTTCGTCTCAATATAGAAATTCAAAATTCTTAACTAAATTTATTTTATTTATTATTTTGCTTAAATAAGTAAATTACAAAAACGGATTTCTCAAAAAATTAATTTTTCTATTTTTTTACTTTTCCTAAAAACATAAATATCAATTGTTTATGAAAGAAAAAGAAAGTTTATAAAAGTGATTATTTCTAATTTTTTTTTTAAATTTTTATTTTTTTTTAACATATTTATTAAAACAATTTTACACCACAAAAGGCAAACATGGAAAATATTGACCCTGTATCCATTCTACCCATGTTTAGGAAAAAAGAATGATTTGAAGATGAATGCAGCTCTGCCGTCCCACAAGAAAGTGTAATTACTAATAACTGCGATAATACTATTGTTACGAGCTTGAGGTTCGTGACAATAAAAACTGCCGATTGAATTACCAAAATTTACACTTTAATTCATCATCATCATTACAGCCCTTCACAAGTCCACTGCTGAACAATGAACAGAGGCCTCCCCCAAGGTATGCCACAAAGCACGGTCCTTAGCCACCTGCATCCATCGACTTCCTGCATGTCTTACCAGGTCATCACTCCATCTAGTGGGGGGTCGCCCTACACTTTAATTCACTTTACACTAATTAAAACTTAGAACACTAATAATTAACCACACTGATTCACTTTATTTCGCTCCGAGGCTTCGCTTGTCTCGCCAAATTCAATACTGCCCGACCGCGTCTTGCAGCGTCTTTAAATACACATTTTTCACCGAAACGTCCAGAATATTCAAGTAAATACGCGCGCCAACCGACCAGGCGCAGAAAGTTCGAGTGTGGGGCTTCCAGAAAGTTTAATTATTCTGTTCGACACTAGATGGCGCTGTTGGTCGAAAGATTAGTCATGTCATTTTTTTGGAAAGCTCTCCTCGCTTTGTTACCCGACACTAGATGGCGCTAGTGCCAGACGTCAACTTAGGCGCACAACATTATTATAGTTGATGGTGTATCTTTCCTAGTAGTATTATCGTCGATGGTGTGTTTTTCTTAATAGTATTATCGTCGATGGTGTGTTTTTCCTAGTAGTATTATCGTCGATGGTGTGTCTTTCCTAGAGTAGTGGTGTTGGGAGTAGTGGTGTTGAGAGTAGTGGTGCTGGGATTGGTGCACGCGATTGAGGGTGGGCGGGAGGTGCTCTTCAAACTAGGTAAGATACATCATTTTATTTTATTGAGCGGATGGTTGCAAAGCAACTATTTATATCTACCTTCCCTTTACATTTACGAAGTTGGTGTTTTCGTACACAAAAATACAGAATTATTCAATAAGGCGAATAATTATGATTGAGAGATCCTCACAGAATGATATACAATGACACTCCAAGGTCGAATAAGTTTGCAAAAAGTTGCGTCTGTATGTGTGTGTCGGAATATATAACAAGATTCCTGGACGTATTGAAATGCTCAATATGAATATATTTAAGCACTGCTTTTAGAAATGGCTAAGTCAGAATAACTTTTACAGCATTGATTCGTTTCTCTGTACCAAAAACTTAACATAAATTTATATAGTTACAAAATTTAATTTTATTCAATTTTTATTTCGTTGACATATTTGGTAATAAATATTTTATCAATAGTATGGATTGACATGTAATTTCATTGTAACATTCTTAAATTCAATATATTATTTGCATGCTATTTTCATTATGGCGAAACGCATGCGCTCTATCAAACTTGTACCAGCTTATACTACTGTGCTTCTAATCAAGTAAAGTAATTATTGATATTATTAAAAAAATATCATACCGCGTAGTGGACACCGTGTAGTGGTGGTGTAAGAATATCATACCGCGTAGTGGACACCGTGTAGTGGTGGTGTAAGAATATCATACCGCGTAGTGGACACCGTGTAGTGGTGGTATAAGAATATCATACCGCGTAGTGGACACCGTGTAGTGGTGGTGAAGAATATCATACCGCGTAGTGGACACCGTGTAGTAGTGGTGTAAGAATATCATACCGCGTAGTGGACACCGTGTAGTGGTGGTGTAAGAATATCATACCGCGTAGTGGACACCGTGTAGTGGTGGTGTAAGAATATCATACCGCGTAGTGGACACCGTGTCGTGGTGGTGTAAGAATATCATACCGCGTAGTGGACACCGTGTAGTGGTGGTGTAAGAATATCATACCGCGTAGTGGACACCGTGTAGTGGTGGTGTAAGAATATCATACCGCGTAGTGGACACCGTGTAGTGGTGGTGTAAGAATATCATACCACGTAGTGGACACCGTGTAGTGGTGGTGTAAGAATATCATACCGCGTAGTGGACACCGTGTAGTGGTGGTGTAAGAATATAATACCGCGTAGTGGACACCGTGTAGTGGTGGTGTAAGAATATCATACCGCGTAGTGGACACCATGTAGTGGTGGTGTAAGAATATCATACCGCGTAGTGGACACCGTGTTGTGGTGGTGTAAGAATATCATACCGCGTAGTGGACACCGTGTAGTGGTGGTGTAAGAATATCATACCGCGTAGTGGACACAGTGTAGTGGTGGTATAAGAATATCATACCGCGTAGTGGACACCGTGTAGTGGTGGTGTAAGAATATCATACCGCGTAGTGGACACCATGTAGTGGTGGTGTAAGAATATCATACCGCGTAGTGGACACCGTGTAGTGGTGGTGTAAGAATATCATACCGCGTAGTGGACACCGTGTAGTGGTGGTGTAAGAATATCATACCGCGTAGTGGACACGGTGTAGTGGTGGTGTAAGAATATCATACCGCGTAGTGGACACCGTGTAGTGGTGGTGTAAGAATATCATATCGCGTAGTGGACACCGTGTAGTGGTGGTGTAAGAATATCATACCGCGTAGTGGACACCGTGTAGTGGTGGTGTAAGAATATCCACCAGCCCACGTCATCCCGCGGTGTAGTGAGAGACGACAGAGGGGCACAGATCAGACGGCTGCAGCGTCTCCCTAATAACGACTAAAATTAAAAATAAACTGCGAAGTTAACCCGTTGGTCAACCCGTGGCAAACTGTGGCAAACATCCCCCCATGAGACAATAAAATCTAATGGGGAGGCCTTTGTTTAGCAGTGGACTTTAATAAGCTGTAACGGCAACGGTTATTTTCATCATCATCGTTACAGCCCATCACAATTCTACTAATGACCATAGGCCAAGGCCTAGGTATGTGTAGCTGCAACAGCCTCCCCACGAAATGACACAAACCATGCTTTTAAGCCACCTGCACCCAACGACTTCTTACATCTTTTATCCAGTCGTTACTCCATCTAGTGGTTCAAACATCATAAAAAAAACAAATCATCTTCTAACATGAATAATTTTACGAATAACTGATCCTATTTAAGTCTGAATTAAAGAGTATAATGTGTGCTAGGGAAATTCTAGACGTCAAATTCTCCGACCGACGAACATCGCGATAAAATTCACAGTACGGGTGGTATTTACACCATCTGAAAGGTTAGCAGTCCATCACTGTGCATTTTACTAGGAATTATCTGCCTCGCTCGATTTCTTTGTGAAATCTCTGGCGATTTTTCCGGGTCGATATGACTTAGCGATCTTCAAAAAACAGGCTTGCTCCTTTTAGAGGCAACGCATCTGCAATCCCCATAAAGTTAAAATTGTTCATGGGCGGTAATCAACAGTTACCATTCGATGAGCCGCATGCTCGTTTGCCCCCTCCTCTTTTATAGAAAAAATCTTGGCGTGGCTGTGTCGTGAACATGGCCGTGTGCTTTATGTAAATACGTGTACGTAACGAAACGAACTCTTACTGACGGCGCTGCCTTTATTTGCGCTTTAGTTATCGAATTATTTAATTAAATTTTGGATGTATACTGTAGATATGTAGCTGGAACACCAAACTGAATCCCACTATGTTATTATCATCTGTTTTCTGAATTACCTCTTACTATGGAAGTAGAAGAAATTTAAACACACATTTACATCAAAAAGGTACTCACCTCGGAGAGTGAATCGAGATGCTGCAGCTGTGGCGCGTCAAGCCAGCTGTAGAGGCGTTGCAGGTGCTGTAGCAGCGCGCGCGCGGCCGCATCGGCGCGCGCTGCCTCCCCGCGCGCAGGCACGCTCCCTCCGCCCGCCCCACTTGCTGCCCCTCCCCCGCCCCCACCCCGCACACACGCCTCGTAGCGCACCAGCCGTCCCGTCAGCGCCGCGCCCGCCGCCCCACCCGCCTAGTAACCACGCTTTATTATAGCATAAGGGTGACGATCGGGCACACAGTCCACTTGAAGGTAAGTGGATGCTATGGCCCATAGACATCTACATCTATCCTCGATTAGTAATCAAAATGTAGCTGCATAGTCACCCCTGAGGACTAAGAGTGAATGCTTCGTTTCCAGTAAAAAGTATCTCTGGTTTGTTAACAATCTGAACTTTCATAAATATAATAGTATAAAAATGCATTCCACTCTAAAATATCACCCTGAATGAAGACTACCCAAGTACGCAAGACATCCCTGTCTTGTATGTGTAACAGCTCACTTTTATACTCCGCTGTCCGAGCAACGCCACACAAACGGTGAACTTTCCGATACACAGGATCAAATAGTGGGTGTACGTACAACATAGTAGGTTTTTACCTAAGCAATTGCCGTTCTGCAGTACCGGCTTTTCAAATCAAAATGTTATTTTGGCTAAGTATTCTACTTTCAAATCAATTTTATTTAAAAAAAACATGGAATTACATATAAACACTCACGCCTGTCACCCAGAGGGGTAGGCAGAGACTACAGACTTCCATTTGGCACGATCCCGACACACCTCTCTTGCCTCCTTCACATCCATACACCTACGCATACATGCTCGTCGGTTAAGGGTACTCCTAATTTGGCCCGTTTTCAATAAATCGCCAATTTGGTCGATAAATTTTCGTCCCTTTCCGACTCTGCCATTCACTTCTGCACCATAAATTTTCTTTGTCACTCTTTCCTCATTCATTCTTTCCACATGACCAAACCACCGAAGCATTCCTTTCTTAATCCTGGTCACAACATCATCTTGCAAACCACACTCTTCTCTTATTACACAATTTCTTAACCTGTCATTCAAATTCAGCCCTAACATACTCCTTAACGACCGCATTTCTACTGCATTTATTCTACTCTCGTGCTTCTTCTGCCACGCCCAACTTTCACTACCATACGTTAAAGTAGGGACCAACACAGCATTGTGAATTGCCATACATGCATTTTCGACACATTTTGACTCTTCACAATAGAGTGCAAGGCCCCATTTACTCTATTTCCCGCATTCACTCGTCATTCTATATCCTTATCATATGTGTATAAAGGGATGGGAGACATGGAATTCTTTTCTTAAATTATTAATTTGTTTAAAAATTCGTTAGTAATTATGGAATATATACTTATATTCCGTCGTGGCAGCAACGCGGCACGAACGGCACGGAACATCAAAGACGTTTAGGGAGCGAATGCTACAAACGAATACACCATGTTATTGGTGTGCCCGTTGTGTTCTGGAAATTTCACCTTGAAAAATTTGGTTGGCATAAGACGAATTAAAGGCGTGTGTGGAAGCTGATGATTCTCAATCTACGGCTGAATTAGGAGCAGTTTTGAACGTTATATTAGGTTGGATCGTGGTTCAGCACCCAAGCAATGCCCTAAAGTGTGCCCGCGATAGCCTAAGACTAGTGTCATCAATCCGGCCCGCAACAGCCAGTGTCGTATTGTTGTTAGTAATGAAGAAGAAAACATAGAATTATAATTACATACTCTGTTTTATTTACTTGCAAGGTAAAACTTAACAACAGAAATGATGACGTAGAAAACTTAACTTAAATATCTTAACTTAAGCATATTAATAACTAACAAATAATTGAAATGAATCCCACTATTCAGAGTAAAACAAAAAAACTAATGAGATTTATATAATTGTGATTTTTCACCGACAATAGTTTGTAGTTGTGGATCAATTTTACTCGTAAAAGAGATTTAAGATACTAAGAGTTAATTTAGATCTGTAAACATTCTTTGTGTACTTACTTAATGTTGATAAAAGTTTTCTCACACAAGTGGTACCATAAACAGAAAACAACTCACGAGCAAATTTATGCAAATTATCAAATTGTACCAGTGAAGACCTAAATAACTCCAACAAAAATGAATTCTGATATTTGTTCTTAATTATATCTCTGCACTGTAAATAAATTATTTCCATTCGGACTACTGGAGCTGGAAATTTTGAAAAAGCTTCATTTTACTCGCAATGACATCAGTCTGAGAAACGAGTATCAAAATTTATCTTTGAAGCACTCAACGTTTAGAATTAAAGTTACATAATCAATGGGAAATTTTCTACAGCCTTTGACACTAATCCTTAATTAATAATTATTACCACACTTATTTTTGCCTCCATCAGTTGTGATATATTTCAAGTTTTTCATCGATTGTTCTACTTATTAACGGCATTTACAACTCCCTTAAACATATCTGGCCCAGTTGTCGTGCCGTGAATTCTAACAACATCAAGAAGTTCTTCACACACTTATCTGACACATCCTTTCACTAATCCTACGCTACAGAAAACCACTCAACATGTCCATTTTTGTCGCAGGTGAGATGATATATTTTCTGCAATGTCTTGCACCCACGGTGTTTGATGACAATACGACACTTTTAAATAAATTTACCTTTTCGAGGCAAATTTTTTCAGCTACTGCAATCAAGCATTCTTTTATCATTTTTCCATCGGTGAATGGTTTCCCACGTTTTCCGATTTCAAGAGCCACACAAAAGCTGGCGCGAGTTGGGGACTCTTGTTCAGTATTCGCTTTTGTAAACAAATATTGCTGCGATTTCAGTCCACGCTTCAAGCTTCGTAATTTTGAATGAGTTTTGATTTATAGAGTAGTTTAATGTTATAGTTTTGGTGGAGAGGCTATAATTTCATTACAAATCAAACACAGCGGCTCATTACTGGACTCAATCACATAATACTGAAAGTTCCATTTATCTTTGAACGTTCTGCATCCCCAGTCTATGTTCCGCTTCTTTTCCATACTAATAAATCACACATAAGAACAATAAGTCAAATCAAGATACTGTTATGGACGGATGTTTCTTTATTTCACAATAGCCAGTTTCGCTTCCTTCGCCTTTCCTACGCAAACTGAGTCGCGTTTGCGCCACTAGCCTTTTTATATGCAATTACAGCTATCTCGAAGTGATCGGAATACACTAGCCTGAACCAGAACTTTCACGAACCAACGGTGAAATACTGAAATATTTAATTAAAACTAACGCCACCTGTTAGTACTACACACTCGCCACTAGATGTCGTTAAGTGTCACAATCATCATCATCATCATCATCATTACAGCCCTTCACAAGTCCACTGCTGAACATAGGCCTCCCCCAAGTAATGCCACAAAGCACGGTCCTGAGCCACCTGCATCCATCGACTTCCTGCATGTCTTACTAGGTCGTCACTCCATCTAGTGGGGGTCGCCCTACACTACGCCTACCGGTACGAGGCTGCCACTCGAGAACCTTTCTTCCCCATCGGTTATCGGTTCTTCGAGCTATATGGCCGGCCCATTGCCACTTCAGCTTACTAATCCGTTGGGCTATGTCGGTCACTCTGGTTTTACTGCGGATATCCTCATTTCTGAGTCTATCACGCAGAGAAACTCCGAGCATAGCCCTCTCCATAGCTCGCTGAGCGACCTTAAGCGTCCTCATACGGCCAGCAGTGAAGGACCACGTCTCAGATCCGTAAGTCATCACTGGCAACACGCACTGGTTGTACAATCTAGTTTTTAGAGATTGAGGTATACCTGACGAAAAGATATGCCGTAATTTCCCGAACGCTGCCCAGCCGAGTTGAATCCGTCGATTGACCTCTCGGTCGAAGTTGGACTTACCTAGTCGGACTATTTGTCCCAGGTAAACGTATTCGTCAACAACTTCGAGCATAGTGCTCCCAACAACTACCGGCATAGGTGTGACATGGACATTGAACATGATCTTTGTTTTGTCCATATTCATCTTAAGACCTATCCGTTGGGAGGCACTATTGAGGTCATTGAGCATAGTGCTTAAGTCCTCCAGCGATTCTGCCATAAGGACTATATCGTCGGCAAATCGAAGGTGAGTGATGTACTCGCCATTGATGTCAATACCGTATCCTTTCCAGTCCAGTAGCTTGAAAACGTCTTCCAATGCAGCGGTGAAGAGTTTCGGGGATATAACGTCACCCTGTCTTACACCTCTCTGCAGTTGGATAGGTTTCGAGCTCTGGTTCTGTACTCGGATAGCCATCGTAGCCCTACTGTACAAACACTTCAGCACTTCGATATACCGACAGTCAACTTGGCACCGCTGAAGGGACTGTAGCACCGCCCAAATTTCGACGGAATCAAAGGCTTTCTCATAGTCCACATACGCCAGGCAAAGTGGCAGATTGTACTCTTCAGTCTTCTGTACAATCTGCCGCAGGGTATGTATGTGGTCTATGGTACTGAAGCCTTTTCGGAAACCGGCTTGTTCGGGAGGCTGGAAGTCGTCAAGTCTGCGTGCGAGACGATTCGTAATGACTCTCGAAAACAGCACGTAGACGCGGCTCAGAAGGGAAATCGGTCTGTAGTTCTTTAAGAGAGCGTTGTCGCCTTTCTTAAAGAACAAGACCACCGCACTTCTGCTCCACGCCTCTGGAGTAGTGCCACCATGGAGGACGGAATTGAAGAGCTTCTGAAGGACTTCAAGTACCGGTGTTCCACCCGCTTTCAGAAGCTCCGCTGTAATTCCATCCTCGCCTGGGGCCCTGCCGTTTTTAAGGTGCTGGAGAGCCATTCTAATCTCGCTTAGACTGACGTCCGGGATATCATCGGAATAGTGTCGGATAAGACTTGCTCTTGGATCGTTACTCACACTTGCGTGTGGCTCCAACGATGATGTGTACAGCTGCCCATAGAACCTCTCAATCTCACTCAAAATCTCAGGTGTCCCGGAAACGATGTTGCCACACTCAGTCTTCAGCCTTGACAGTTGGCTCTTTCTGGCAGACAGATCTCTGGCAAAGACTTTGGAGCCCTGGTTCCGCTCGATCGCTTCTTTAATACGAGCAGTATTAAAGTTGCGTAAGTCTCGCCGTATGCATTTGGAGATCTGTCTGTTCAGTTGCCTGTATGCTGTCAAATCTGTTGACGATTGCAGCCTCATCTCCCGTCTAACAGCCATGAGATTAAGAGTGTGATCGGAGAGTTTTTGTGTTCTTCTGCGGCGGGTCTTGCAGAACTTAGCTCCGACCGCATGGACAGTTTCCACAAGCTTGTCGTTCATATCGTCCACTGCATTGCAATCTTCTAGGCACTGGAAGCGGTTACGTAACTCGAGCTGAAAGGTTTCGGGATTCTGGATTAGAGCACGAGGGGGACGGAGCGTTGACTTCATTAGACGAGACCTCTCCAACTTAACGTTTAGGTTCAGTGTGCCTCTAACCATTCGGTGATCGCTGCCAGTTTTCACCCTTGCGATCACTGAGACATCACTGAACAGTTGGCGTCTGGTCGTCATAATGAAGTCAATCTCATTTTTTGTCGAACCGTCGGGGCTCGACCAGGTCCACTTCCTGTGGGGCCGCTTCTGGAAGAAAGAGTTCATCATAAAGAGTCCCTCTTTCTCCATAAAGTCGGCCAGCTGCTGGCCCCTTCGGTTCCGTTGCCCTACTCCAAATTTCCCTACCTTCAGCTCACCGCTTTCTCTTGTGCCCAGTTTTGCGTTGAAGTCTCCCATCAACACCGTGTAGTAGGTTTTGGAGGAATGTATGGCTCTGGAAATATCCTCATACATTTCCTCCACCTCCTCATCGGGATGTGCCGAGGTTGGTGCGTAAACCTGAATGACCTTCAGCGAATACCGTTTGGTGATTCTGAGTATCAGGTACGCGACCCTCGTCGACACACTCCCAATCTTTACAACGTTGTTGACGAGAGATTTGTGGACGATAAATCCGACACCTCCTTGGGACAGATGGTCGCCCTCCCGGTGATAGAACAAGTTGCCGGACTCGAGGATTGCCGTGTCCTCCCCCTCTCTTCGGACCTCGGATAATCCAATAATATGCCAGCGCAACTTGTCTACCTCTTCTTCCAGCTCCAGTATCTTCTCGTCAGTCCTCAGGGTGCGTGCGTTATATGTTGCCAGGTCGAGTCGTCGTAGGTGGCAACCGAACCTCCACCGGAGATTCTTAGCACCCCCTGCCCCGCCGTTACCATGGTCGCCACCGTAGCCAGGAATAGCGGGGCCGCCGGGGACTGGGGGCCGTCTGTTTGTGTATTTATTCATTGGGGGGTTATTTGCCATAGTTGCCACGCTTGGCGAGCGGGTTGGCAACCGCAGTTTTTTATTACGTCACAGTTGTCATCAGGAAGACGCTGCTGCCCATCTCCTGCCTGTCTCCCTCTGTCGCCTCTTACGACACCCACGGGAAGATATGGGGTAGTGGATATTCTTAACCGCCACTACACGGCAAGTGTCACAATACACAATAGTAATTGAAATACAAAATAAAAAAATATAGAAAAAAAATACATTAACTTATTTAACAAAAATGGAAATTCCATAGATAAAGACCTTGATATGCAAAGCAATGCTTTAGTGCTGTATTTTTTAATTATGTACACATTTTCAATTTCATCTACTTTTAGGAATCTACTTTTTTTCTATTTCTAGTCTATTTTATATAAAGTATAACTAATATTTCAGAAAAAAAGCGGCGCTCTTGTGGCAAAAAAAGCCACATGATCAGCAGTCGCATTTATGATCACTAGAGTCAAATGTCTAAATAAGCAGTAGTGCAACGAAAGAGTTCAACAGCGGGGCAAACAACCTCGAGTCGTTCAGCGAGACGCTGGCCACCACCCTCGGTGGCCGCGGCCAGCATGCCGGCCACGTTGAGCGCGTCGAGGCGCGCCAGCCGCTCGGCCAGGCGCCGCACCCACTGCTCCGCGTCGGGCTCGTCGGCCGCCGCGTCATCCAGCAGCGCGCCCAGCGCCGCCCCGCCCAGCGCCTCGCCCTCCGCCACGGCCGATCCACCCACCCCGCCCAGCGCGCGCACCACCGCCCGCCGCGCCACATCCTCGCAGCACCGCCACGTCAGGATCTCCCCGCCCGCCTCCACGCTCAGCGTCCCGTCCTGCCGGTAAATTGTCACAAAATTACTTGTTTATGAACTATTTCACCGTTAAGTGAGTCATAACATATAGCACACGACAGCTCTGTGGCTCAGTGGCTCAGCATCAAGTTGCGCCCTGGGCTGCGGATATGAACCCCGCACGAAACATGTATTTGTATAGACTACAAAAAATTGTTTCGGGGCTAGATGTTTGTCCATATGCAATTTACTTATTATGTAAAACGCCTCCACAAAACTAGAGTAAATACTATTAAAGGGAGTCATGCTTTTGTAAAAAAAATTAAAGAGCTATTTTGTGTTATTGAATAATAGCTATAGTAGACTTTAGGGCTGCAACATAAATATATAGGGTCACCCGAAGCAAGTGTGACAGTGGGGCAAGTGTAACAAATGCAAATCATGCGGCCTAAACACGATTTTTAGTTTAATTTCATCTATTAAACAATACAGGAAATTTTACGCTATTGACTAAACTTACAGTTAAGTACATAGCTTGAACTATTTTATCAACAGATGTTATTTTTAAAAACTACTTAACTGGCGACAGACAGTGCAATTTTAAGAGGTGAAGTTATTAAGTGTTCGATATGTCGTTAAGTTATTTTAGACCAGATACAAGGTGAGTGGTAAAGAATAATATTTGTACTTATAGAGTAATATGTTTCTGCGACCTGAAATTCACTATTCCTCGAAATACAGATACAGCTACACTTACCTCACCTAATAATCTGAATCTGAATTAAATTTTATTTTGCACTTGGCATTGCTTTTATTATACTTACGAAACATCCGGAGCTAGTGTAGTAAATCTATTTAAAGGCACACCACTATATTGGTTAAAAACAGTCACACTTGCCCCATGTTGGGGGAAATTCATTGTTACACAAAAATGGACGTTAAAATTGTTACCATAGATCATAAAATATATCGACATTAGTATCATCTCATCAATTTTGTTGAAAACCACAGATAATAATAAAGTAACAACAAAAAGAAGCGTACCATCACTCTTTACCCCATTGATGGGTAAGTGTGACAGTCTTCTACCTCAATTAGTTTTAATTACCTGAAATTACAAAATGCTACTTGTAGACAATAAATTGCTTGATTAAACATACAACTACTTAATAATTTATGTTATGAAATTCAATTCTCTACATTAAGTCTTTACAGAGTAGAAGTATTTAAATGTGGATTATAGTTTTAATTAATTTATGTCAAACTTGCCCCAGGTGACCTTACTATGTTTTGAAAAGTAAAACACAAAATGCTTTTTTTATAGGATATGGTGACAAACGAGCACACAGTCCACCTGATGGTAAGTGGTTGCTGCGGCCCCACAGACATCTACATCTATCCTCGATTACGAATCAAAATGCAGAAGCACTGTCACCCGTGAGGATTAAGATGGAATGCCTCATTTCCAGTAGAAAGAGTCTCCGGTTCTCTACACTCACCATACGAAACACAGCAGCATTACCCTACTGTTTTACGCTGGTATTCTGTGTGAGTGTGGTCCTTCCCCGGTCGAGCCGACTTATTTGTGCTACAACTATACTTCTAATATAACTATAGCATGACTCTACCACATATACACAAAATATTTTCATATATTATTTTGTTTGAGCAATATTGTCACATTTGTAATCTGCAAATTTGCTGCTCAATTGCACCAGGTCCCAATAAGATCTGAACACTTTTTTGCCACTTTAATTAGTAAATATTTGTGGGAACTTTAAAATAAGATGAATTAACCACAAACCAAGTTTCAAAGAAAACTGCCTTAAACACAATGAGGTTTTTATTAAATTTTGCTTAGTGTTCATGGTTTCAAGTATTTGTTACCCAAACACATTTTTCTCATTACTACATTTTTTAATTAAAAAATATATATTTTACACAAAAATGTAACAGAGATATTGCTCAAAAATTTAATTTGCATGTAAAACAAATGAAGCAAATCACATAAACTTTTTGCTTACAGCTGAAGCCTTATGTGAGGCTTTACATATGAGAACTTCACAAACTTTACATTTTAGAGAAACCGAACAGTCAAGATCAGCAATGAATCTTGCAACATTTAATAATGAATCTTTTTATATATTCATTTTAATTAATATAATGGATAAAATTAAATTACTTTGCTTTGCTTTGCTTTTACATAGTGGATGTTGCATTATGCATCACTTTAAAAGACTACTGCTATTAAAAATAACCATTTTCCAAAGTAAATAAAATATTGGTGATTGAATCATTTTCTAGCAACTCTTCTTTACGTTCTTAACTCAGGAAAAATGAAACTGTTATTGAAACTTTCTGTAAAAATTATCCGTCAGTTTATGTAATAATTATTATTCAAAATAATAAACATTTAACTCCTCTCTTGTAAGCTTCTAAAAACATTGCTCTTATTACTTTCCCTAATAAGTATAAATACAAACTTTTGGTAAATCCAAATGTGTATGCCTTTAGTGCTCATGTTATACATCAATTTTATATAGTATTTTAAATTTACACAAGTTTTCACAAATAACCTTATTACTATCACTTCTAATTTTCCGATAATTTTATGTCAAATGTCAATAGAACAAGTCCAATCCAAAAGTGATGACACATAATGCTCATATGATTCTTTAAAAAATGTAAAAAAAAAGTTCTCAATCCACAATAGAAAATGTTCTACTTTTTAATTTATTTTATGTACACACATCACGATACAGAAGCAGTCTTATAGTAATTTCGTACAAAGGTTCTACTTATTCCATAATTAGCTGAAATATCTTCCAGTAGACCCATAAAGGAAATTATATTGAAATTGCAAACTTAGTGCATACATTAGTACTACTAAAAAATAAATAATATACACAATGTTACGTAAATTATATAAAATAAAACAATAAATAAAAATAAAATAAATCAATACATAATAATAATAATAATAAATACGATAGTTACATATGATATATATAAACTAAACTAATATAATAGAATAATATATATTAATTAACAGGATGCAAAGTAGTTATCTCTAAGACGTTTCTTGAATACCAATAAAGATTCGGCATTTCTTATATTTGAAGGTAGTGAGTTCCACCTTACCGCGTGAACTGAAAAGGAGTGGGAGTAAAAACCGGAATTGAAGACGGGAAAGTCAAGATGAGTTATAACAAGGGATCTGCATGGTTTGTCCGGCGGATGGGTGAAGGAAAGTCGGCTTCTGAGGTATGTGGGAGAGGAAGGGTTGTGCAAAATGTTATAGAGGAGACATAACAATCGAGTGTTCCTTCGAAGTCGAATTGGGAGCCACTTGAGTTGCTTACGAACCTGAGATATACGGTCAAATTTCATGAGCCCAAATATAAAACGGATACACAGATTTTGCAAGCGCTCAAGTTTATTAAGAAGCTCCTCTGTAGTATCCAAATAACAGGCATCCGCATAATCAAGGAGAGGTAGGATAAGAGTAAGCACGAGTGATATTTTAGCTTTAAGGGTTAAGAAATTTTGTAGACATTTAAGCGAATACAAAGTAAAGTAGACCTTGCGACTAACCTCAGCGATATGCGTGGTCCATGTTAAATTGTGATCAAATATGACGCCTAAGTTTTTGATAGTATTGGCAAAGGGTATAGGAACGCCATTAAAACAAACTAGAGGTATTGAAGTAAATTCTAATCTATTACGCAAATGCCTACTGCCTATTATGATGGCCTGAGATTTCGTGGGATTAACTAATATTCCGAAAGATGCAGACCATTCACAGATGCGGCTCAGATCCGATTCATGGCTGCAATTGCATTATTTGTATCACCCACCGGAAAATGGCGATAAAGCTGTAATTCATCCACGTAGAGATGGTAATTAGATGTAATAACACTCGTAATAGAATTAATAAATATGGAAAATAAAAAAGGGGGAAAGAACGCTACCCTAAGGTACACCTGTAGTGATACCAGACCAATCGGAAAGAGTGTCATTAACACGGACACAATGTGATCGACCACGAAGATATGAATCAAACCATGCGATGGCAGATGGGGAAATGTTTATAGATTCCAGGATCCGGAGAAGAATATCAAAGTCTACTGAGGTAAAGCACTACTAAAGTCAAGCAAAACTAAAAGTGTAAGAGATTTATTGTCCATGGCCCAACGGATATCATCAGTTACTTTAAGTAAAGCAGTAACAGTGCTGTGTCCACGAAGAAAGCCCGACTGATAAGTGGAGAGCAAGGCGTTAGACGATAATGATGTTACAGAACTTTAGAAAGAAAGAGTAAAATAGATATGAGGCGAAAGTGGGACAAAGAAGAAGGATTAGAAAACCTTAGGCAGAGGAATTATATATGCTTGTTTTGAAACTGAAGGAAAAGATGATGACGATATAGAAAAATTAAATATGTGAGTGAGAATTAGTCATCTTCACGCATAGACCATCAATACCATCAGCATTTGAAGAGATGGCTAGGATGGATTTTTCGACATCTTTCTCCATCACAAGGGAAAGATGAAAAGGGCAAACGTGCGGTTTCGGTATACCAGACAATGCGAGTAGTGTGTTGGATTTGATGTAAGGATCTAAAGTCATAGGAGGAGTAGCAAAGTGATTGTTTAGATCCTTTACTTTAACGTCATTGTATTCTAGGATCGGAGACCTGCCCACACCAACAGAATGAAGGAACTTCCACATCTCAGTAGAATTTTTATTATGGAGAGAGTTGTAAAAGTAGCTTTTTTGGCATACCGACATAAACGACTGCAGCGGTTGTGTAAAAATTTAAAACGATTTAAATTATTTTCAGATGGGAGAAGTTTAAACCTTTGCTTAGCTTTGTCCCTCTGGCCCATAATTTCTCTTATATCTTGTGTAATCCATGTTATTGTTATTGAGATTAAAAAAAATTATCTTTAATTGAAAAAAACTTTTAACAGAATTATCTTAAAATGATCACAAATCAACTTTAATATTACTTAAATTTTTAGGTATTTGTACTCATAGTAGGGAAGTCCAAGCGGGGATTTCGGGATTTACTCGAGCGCGGCAGAATAACATGAAGGGGTCCCCCCTTGCACCCTTTACCCCCACCAAATGTGAGCTCTTTATATAGGTGCGTGCGCTAAGGGTAGCCGATCAGAATAGTAAAAAAGAGCTATTTCAGGGTGTACTTATCACATCTTGGGAATATCTGACGCGCTCGAATAATTTTTTTTATCCCATTTTGAACCCCTTCGTATGGCCACCCCCACTATTTAATCCGTCAGATTAATATTCCTCAGTTCTCAAAAATATGTGTTACACTGTTAATATCTGAAATGCTTGAGTAATTTTTGGGACTGGTTTTTCTACAAATTTGAAAATCTATACTCGCTCCCCCACCACAAAAAGGACATACATCATACAACCTTGTTTTGTTTTTAGCATCTAAGCTTCACAATCCAAAAGGTCCCACAATGCTTGAGTAACTCCCAATTTAGCCTCTACCATCAGGCATTATCGTAAAAACTAGTCTTTTACTGGAAAAAAATTACTCATCAACTTTATTAAATTTTCAAAAAAGTTTTTAATTTAGACATAACTAGTATTTTATTCTAGCATTCCCCAATGTCACTCCATAAAGTCCAAGAAATATTTATATATAAATATAGGTACACAAACCTATATTTATATATAAAACACATACTTTTAGTAAAACAATATATTATAATGAAAATCTGTGATTATAATAATAATAATAATGGGGGAAGCGGATTCGACGATTTACCGAGAGGTCAAGGCGGTTCAATTAGAATCATCTCTTCCAGAGTGATCAGAAGAGGCTCTATAAATCATTGGAGCGACCAAAGGTATGTGGAGCGGACCCAGGACCGGATCAGGCTGACATTATCGCATTCTGGCATGGCCTGTGGTCAGAGTCCGTAAACCACAGCGAGGGCCCTTGGATGGAAGTTGTGGCGAGCCAGGGTGCGAGTGTTACGCCTATGGACCCCATCACCATAACGCCGGAAGACGTGGCTGAGGCGGTCCGTAGGGCCTTGAACTGGAAAAGTCCGGGGCTCGATCAGGGTCAGAGGGCTACATCAATACCGGCTGAAGGGGTACATAGTGTGTCACGCTGTGCTCGCCCGACAGTTTCAAGAGGCTCTCGACCAGAAATCGCTCTCGAGCCTCTTCACTACTGGGATCACTCACTTGGTTCCTAAAGATCAGGATACCACAGACCCGAGCAAATAACGCCCCATCACGTGTCTACCCACCATATATAAGACACTGACATCCATTTTGAGCGCGAGAATCACTAGTCACCTGGAGCTAAACCAGGTGATGTCACGCGCTCAAAATGGATGTCGGGGCGGTGGTCATGGAACCAAGGAACCACTCCTCATTGACGCGGTCATAGTGGTGAAACGCAACCGTCGAAACTTCTCTGCCGCCTGGATAGACTACAGAAAGGCGTTGACTCGCCCCATACATGGCTAAAGAGGGTCCTCGAGCTGTACAAGATTGACTGTACAGTTAGAGACTTCCTCGAACAGTGTATGGGGCAGTGGAGTACGATCCTTTGTCATCTGGGCGAGCGGATGATGGCTGTGGAGAACCACATAAGGATAAGAAGGGGTATCTTCCAGGGCGATTGTCTGAGTCCAATCTGGTTCTGCCTCTCTCTAAACCCTCTCAGTACCTTAATGGAGGGCTCCGGCAGGGGATTTTAGCTATGGAAAGGAGGGACAAAAGTCACCCACTTTTTTTCTATATGGATGACCTCAAGTTATTTGCCTCCAGTAGCTCCCATCTTATGGAATTGCTAAACATCACTTGTGAATTTAGCAATTCCATTGGAATGGAGCTGGGGACGGATAAGTGTGCGGTCCTCCATGTTGAAAGGGAAAGGGTTGCTAACTCTGAGGGCATAGACTTGTCTATGCCCGTTAACTTAAGGACCCTTTCCGAGGCTGAAACATACCGATACCTGGGTATGTCACAGAACATCGGTATCGATGAGGCTGGTATGAAACAGTCAGTTTGCGACGTGTTTTATGCATGCTTGACCAAAGTGCTTAACAGCCTTTTGTCCGGTGTGAATAAGACACACGCATATAACGGCTGGGTCATGCTTGTCCTCATGTATACCTTTGGCACACTCAGGTGGACTCAGACCGAACTTAACGCCCTCGATAGAAAAATCCGTACTTTGACAGATGTCCCATAGGATGCATCATCCGACATCATCGGTAATGAGGCTGTACTTGCCGCGAAGGCATGGTGGGCGTGATCATGAAATCGAGGGGTTTGTCTGTGCAATACAGGATCAGGTTGTTAAGACCAACAACTATCGGAGATACATCCTAAAGGATGGCACCGTCGACGTCTGTCGAGCTTGTAGCCCTCCTGGGGAGTCACTTAGACATGTCATCTCCGGTTGTTCGGCGCTTTCTAACTTTGAGTACTTGTACAGACACAACCTAGTAACCAGAATTCTACTCTAAATAATATAAGAATAGTAACTAGTTTCTTTCCCTTTCCTCCTAACCCTCAGCCGTTTGGTTTCCCCTGCCGAGGGCTTCCATCTGGTTGGATCTTTATTTATTTATGTATTTTTTGTATTTATTTTATTTTATTGATATTTATGTATATTTATCTTTTCATTTTAATTTATAATTATATATTTATAGAACCCAACCAGATTAGAAAACTATACAGATATCCCAATAATAATAATATCTTACATTGGTTCAGTATGTATCAAATTTGGGTTTTGGAATACTTTGTATTTCTACAGCGATCGATATTTTTCATCATAAGCCGCTGTAAACAAACAATACAGTAACCCACTCATGATGGTGGCTGAGCCCCTAGTGAGTCAAAGTGTAGCATTTAGTAAAATATATTATTACAAGGCCGCGCCAACATTGAAAATATCGGATTTTCTCAGCCAAAAAAAATTAATTATTACTAAACAAAAGAAAATTAAGCAGTCATTTACATTCCATGGCTTCCTACATGATAGATGAATAGATTAAAAAATAGATAGCAATTGATATTTTCAAAAGTTATCATGTTTACCCCTCCATGCAAAAATGATAAATCTACACCATGAGCTTTTTTAATATATAAATAGCAATTGCTCAATTTAAAATAATAATAAGTTTAACAATCAATTTATCATTTATATGTTCAATATGATTGTTAGATACGATTTTTTGATTTTTAGGCACTAGTAGATGCTTTGCACTTAAGGCATGTAATAAAACTTTTTCTTGCGTTGATAATCATTAAGGAGTTTGTAATAACTGATTAAATATTTTATATGCATATAGAACTATACGAACCGGTAAGTCGGCAAGCAGTCGTACAGTATGTAGTGGCCAAGATGTGAGCGACACGCCAGCCTCACTGAGCAGCAGTGCCCCCTCGTCACCTGTTCTGGTTGCACTCGAAGCTGCAATTACGCTAAGCCGTTGTCGCCTCTCATCTGCACCAACTACATCTGCCCCTGCCACCTCTTTACTCTCCCAATCACGAACCACGACCGACTCTTCCAATTTCATCTTTGTAACAGAATAACGATTTGTAATTATAAGAATGTAATTAAAGTTTTCTATTCACGATGTGTTAGTTAAATGAGGTTATTTTAAAATTCTTTATTTTTAAATATAAAATTTAAGTAAGTTTATTTACTAAATAAATGTAGGAGTAAACACTGGTAAACACTAAACAGATGTCGTTTGTCAAATTATCAGATGGATCTGTACAGCCACACACACAGTACAGTCCCATACAGCCTAGTCAGACGTGTAAAAGCTTTGAAGTGTAAAGGTAGAAAAATAAGAATAAGCATTGAATTATTTATTTATTTTATTTTATTTTTATGTTATGGAGAATCAGCAGCTTACAAATCTTAAGTAAATAGACGTTTACACGTGGTAGAACTACACTGCAATTATATTATATATATTATGGTTGTAGCATGAATGACCGGGGAAGGACGCTCTTACAGAATACCAGCGTAAAATAGCAGCTTAATTCTGCTATGCTATGTTATATTCTGCTCTGCTACGTATGGTGAGTGTAGAGAACCGAAGACCTGTTTTACTGGAATCGAGGCATTCCATCTTAGTCCTAAAAGGGACAACGCATCTGCATTTACATTCTTAAGGGGGGTTAAATCTTAGACCATTCAACCCAATGGACGAGTAAAGCTACGAATAAAAAATTCTGTCACTTTAGGTGCGGGGGAGGAAACACTACATAGACAGTATTGCACACCTACTCAATAAAATTTTGTGTCATTACAGTACACACAAATCTAAATCTCTAACACTATTACATTTTACGACATATGTAGGTCAAATACATAAACATGGAAAAGGTTAAGAGTGTAAAATAGACAAATTAATTGCGATGCTACCATATCGATATTTTATATCGATAGTTTCCCTAAGAAAAAGAGAAAAACTCACAAGTATTAGCAAAATGCACTCGAACAAATAAAATCATCTTTATAGTTGGTCAGCGTAGCAAGTTTTTTTAGGGTTCCATAGTAACACAATAACAGTCTCGCCACGTTCATCTGCTGGTTTGTCCGCGGCTTAATACAGAGACTTCTAAAGAGTTATGGTTAAACATGGATACTAGTAATAAACAGGCTCTAGGTACCAAAAACAAAAAGTGGAGGAACTTATGTTTTAAATAACAAGCCTTTATCACAAAAAAATAGTTTTAAAATCGACATTTATATTATTACAATAAAATGCTATTGTGAAACAAAAATAAAGTGTCTCAGATTATTAATTAGCACAATAAATATAAAGGAATAAAATTATAAATAAAATTTAAAAAATATTTATTTGAGGCCGATATTATGATATAGTGACAACATCGTCGATTTTAAAACGGTACTATTAAAAGAAAAATGTTACAGGTTTGCAAGAACTACTAGATTCGCTGACGGAGACATCTTTGGTAAATAAATAAAACAAACAGCTCCCGGAAAAGATAGAAATTGAAGCAAGTGAACTTTTAAAGAGACAATCAATAGAAACTTAAAAGTAACATTAGAAAACTAACCAGAATTAAATATTTTATTTTATTTTATTTTATTCTTTATGGAAAACTTACAGGTAACATTAACAATAAATAAGTGAATAAATACTAGAAGGCCATTTAAAAGTTTTCACCTATAGACATTATGAACTTCAAAACAATAATTCTAGTCTGTAAAAGATAAACATCGATTAAGACAAATTCAGTAAATTAACAAAATTAAACAGAAGAGCACTCAACAAAAATTTTTTTTGCTAATACATTTTTGATTCAAGAAACACTGGTATTAAACAAATCCAGGTCAACGCTATTGGAAATATCGTTAAAAGTTCTACATGCACGTATCATAAAAGAATTTTGCCTGTATTTAGTTCGGGTAAACGGCACATGGAGTTGGCGAGGCTTTCTTATTTGGCTATAGCTCCGGACAGTGAATATTACCATATACCAATTTAAAAAGATAAATCATATCTGCTGTGCGCCTACATTCATACAGAGGCATAATATGAAATTTTTTACGTATAGTAATTATCAGTGTAAAATTGCGTCTTTAATTGCAGAAAACACAGAAAACGCTTTCTACATAATATTCCTCAAAGTTAAGATGTTTCACCCTAATACTTAATTAATACTCACCAAAACCTTATCGCTATGTAAGTAAATGTTTTTCCTATGCCTAATTGCATTCAAACAGATTCAAGATGTTTGTTATCCTTCACGCCACAACGACTGAACAGATTTGGATACTCTGAATCAACACAAGCTACATTTGTCCCGGAAAATTAAAAAGTTAACAGGAACTTTTTAATTTTCCCTTATCCACGTGGTCACAAGTCGCGGGTATAATTTATATAGCAAGTAAAATAAGTAAATATATTTTAAATGTAATAATTGAAGGAAGTTTTAGTATAGATGTATCTATAGTTTAAATATTTTTTTGTTGAATTTATTTAGTCTTAGTATAAAAATTGTTCCTGCACACTTTTATTATAATAATAGCTAATCTTCTTTAATTTAGTGTTTGATGATAAATTTTAATGCTTCTTCAATGAATAATAATGAAAAATTATCGATATCGATCCGCACATCATAGTTCCATCACACATCAATATGACACCATTTCCAATTAATCACTTAACCCTACTGGTTGGGCGGCGGGCCTAGGGGTTCCCGAGTTCGATTCCCAGGTCGAGCCTTGACCCTATTGTGCGATATGTTATACTAGGTGGACTGTATACGCGGTTGGCTTTTTATGCCTCAACAAGATGGCAGACGTGGCACGCGACAACCTTGGACAATGCACTCGCTCTTCCAAATCTATTGCTTGCCAAGGTTAGGAGGGAGTTCTACTGGAGCCAATAAGGAGAAACAAAATGGGGCGGGTTAGCTAATATACAAAACACTCAAGTAGCAAATTTATTGGAAACACTTCCCGGGGTGTGATTCTGATGCTGCGGACGACGCTTCTGTTGTGGTGGTGCGTTGAAAATAGGAGCTGGCGCGATGTGAGGTGGTTTCTCCTGGGGCGCCCCAGAGATGCGATCCAGGCTAGCGGTGCGAAGCAAGAGCGGTGCGCGACGACTTCTCACACTATGTGAGGTGGTTTCTTCTGAGGCGCAACTGCCCCAGGGATGCGGTTCAGACTACCGGCGCGAGGCGTCGTTGTTGTCCTCTGCAGGGCATAAATGCCGTGCAGGTCTCGGGCCTCGGGGTGTACCCCTTTGCCCGGATGTTCCTCACGGCACACTACAATGTGCCGGTCCTGGGCGCCTCGATGTTAGAGGCGTTGCTTATAGCGACTATTGTCGCAGTCGGTAAATTTGTAGTAAAGGATGGTTATCTAAAAAAAATTGTGTTTAATAACACAATTTGTCAAAGTTGGCCTTTCTGCGGCATTGAGGGGTTTACTCGGACTCCCTAATCTATATAGGGAGGAGTTCTCTTGGATAAGGTCGCCCGTCCGGCGGCCTTGCATGCAACGGCGCGAAGCCGTTGAGGTGTTCGTGTGGCCCGTTGTCGGCGCGGTCAAACATACCGCGTGCCAGCCGGACCACGAAATCATGTAGGCTCTCCATCTTGAGGTTGGCCGCTATGACGTCATTACGGACGTAGCGACCCGCACCGACTATGGTTCGTAATGACAAACTCTGCTGGGCCTGAAGTCGCCGCTTCTGATGATCGCTCAGGAGTGCATACCAGGCCGGAGCAGCGTATGTTAGCAGGGGTCTTATATATGTTTTATAAATAGTTAACTTCGACTTTGTCGGTAACTTGGATGTCAGGACAGGGCGGAGCATTGCCCGCGCACATCGAGCTTTGCGTATAGCAGAGTCGACGTGCGCAGTCATACGCAGCATCCTGTCAATCCGACATCCAAGGTAGGTCACGGCCTTCTCATATGCGATCTCCTGGCCTCCGAGGGTTAGCGGTGGTGGTAGATTTCTATAGCGGCGAGTGAGTAGAGCGGTCGTCTTGCTAACATTGACGGCCATCCTCCACTCACCCAACCATGGTGGCAGCAGGTCCAACAGACGTTGCATCCTGGCAGCTGCTATGTGGGCTCTTCTGGACGACGTGAAGTATGCGCTGTCATCCGCAAACAGTGCTAGTTCGACGTCGTCCTCCCATTCTTGCAAGTGTCCTGCCAGGGTGGGTATGTCATTTGTGTACGCCGCGTACAGGGCTGGAGATAGACAGCTGCCCTGTGGCACACCAGCTGATATGGTCTTGATTGCGGACTCGGCGTCCTCTACGCAGACGTAGAACTTCCTGGCTTCCAGGAAAGACGCCACTAGCCGCAATATAGCAGGAGGGATACTTGTTTGTACATCTAATTTATAGAGTAATCCTGTGTGCCACACCCGGTCGAACGCTTTCTCGATATCGAGAAAGACGCCCAACGATATGCGGCCACGGTTGTGTTCGGCCGCAAGCAGGTGCAGCACTCTGGTCAGCTGTGTTGCTGTTGAGTGTCCCCTCCTGAATCCATGTTGCTCCGCCCGAAGTTGGATGCACGGGCGGAGACGTCTTAACAGTAATCTTTCGCACAGTTTAGCTATATGCGGTAGCAGCGTGATCGGCCTATAGTTGGCAGCTCTACGCCTGTCCTTCCCGGGTTTCGGCAAGACGATAACTTTGCCTTTCTTCCAGTCCTCCGGGAAGTGGGATGTCCGCAATATTCCATTGTAGAGCCGACCTATCTCTACAAGGATTCTATTGGGCAGCTGTCGTAGTGCAGCATTAGTAATCCCGTCGTGCCCCGGCGCCTTCCTCGGTTGCAGGCGGGTTACTGTCCTCCGCAGTTCAGCGGGGGAGATAAACCACTCTCCTGCAAGCGGTGGCGCGGGCGACGACAGGAGCTCCTGCACGCGGCTTTCTTTCCGTAAATGGGATTCCAGGAACTCCGCACTCGTAGGGTTCGGCATAAACTGCTCCTCGAAGTGCTCAGCTAGGATATCCGCTCTGCCCTTGGCATCGTAACATTGAATGCCCGCGTTGTTGGTCAGCGGGCAAACAGGTGGTCGAGTTTTCGTTAACTGCCGGTTCAATGTGTAGAGCGACGCGTGCTGTTCATCAGCTTTCCATATGCGCCGCTCCCAGGCCTCTCCTCTGTGGGCCTGTATTGCAACCGACAGTTCGTCTGATAAGGTGTTCAATTTTCTCTTTACTCTAGGGCAGCGGGTACGCGCCCAGAGCTTCCTCAGCGCTCTTTTATGATTTAGCTGCACGCGTAT